GCGGCGGTTCCCCGCGCCTCTGAGGCTTGGCTCTGGCAAAGCCTCAGAAGCGCGGGAACCCGCCCGGTGCCCCTGGTCTGCTGGAGACGGTGTCCAGCAGACCAGGGGCACCGGAGCAGCTTACCAACGGGGCTTTCTCGCCCCGACTTCCGGGGCGAGAAAGCCCCGTTCGTAAGTGCGGATCCGACATAAGTCGGATCCGCGTAAGTCGGGGACTGCCTGTACACAGATGTGTAATGTTCTCAAAATGAGATAAGTGCCACCACCAAAAGTACATTTTAGCTCTCATTGTTTGCAGTTAAAAACTGTGAAAACAGAATCTAAGTAATAATTCAGTTATTATTTATATCATGGTAGCTACTAGTCTGTGGCAGGTGTGTCCAGTAAGGCTTTGACTCATTGATCTCACCACCAAGACAGCAAAGAAAGGCAGATCTAGCTATAAAGGATAAAATACGTTTTCTTTACCTATTTTCAAAATACATATATTAATTATCCCTGCCTGGCTCTGTAGCTAGCCATTGTCAGTCTAACTTCTGCAGACATCATGTTACAAGTGGTTCTTTGAGGAGAGGAAAGTAATGTTTTTAGGAACCACAAGGGCATTCCACATGTAAAATGAGCTGTGGAAGGAGGACTGGAGACAGCTGCGGATGACTATGACTTGAAAATAGTGGCATCAAGGGCAACAGTTGTGAAGGGCCTTGATGGTGAGAACAAGAAGCATGAAATGGATGGGCTGGAAAATAGGGAGCCAGTGGAAGGATTCAAGAGTTATCTACTCTAATTACTGGGATTGAAAGGAATCTGCAGCTGGGCTGCACTTTTTTTAGCAGAAGCCTGAGTTAGATCTGAAGATATCACAGCCACCACCCCCTAAACCACACTTGCTCTAGTTACATGAGTCAGTTGTGCTCAGAGTACGACGAAAAACCCTCTCATTTGCCCTCCCCCAAATCCTATGCACAGTGGTGTGGGTGTAATGAACAGCAATGGGTTACACTGAAGATAACAGTGCTGCAAAATCTTTGTCATGCTTGCTCAAAAGTGTCTAGAGTAGGCGGGATAAGCAGATCTACCAGATGTGTGAACCATCTCACTTCATGTTCTCTGAACTTTATGGCCAATGCACTAACTTTCAAAAGCCAAGAGTCATATCTTCACGGCATAAAATTTAATTTTCAGAACAGTCTCCAAGAGAATCAACTTTAAAATAATTACATCCAAAATAATGCACACTGGTGCACTAGAGAATTATGAGAAACTGACAATAATGCCAACGGCCAACTGCAAAGTGCCAGTGATGACCAAAGGGAATAATCTATTTCAGAACAGCCCTGTGGTTTTTTAATTTTAA